TTAAAGAAAACAACCAGAAATATACTGCTGTAGTTAGCAAAGAAAAAGCAGCACTTAAATTAATACAATCCATCATTCAAAAATCATTAGTGAGATTTCAACATGTATGACAAGCCGATATCGTCAATTTTTCTAACTCACCACATCATTTAACAACTATAACTCTACCTGTTCTTTTCTTATTCTATATGTGGAAAAAAAATGTTCTATTAAAGAATATTTCTTCTTATCTCTGAAGAGATCGATCTATCAGTATTCGTTTTTATTTCCGTTCTGTTTCTTGTACTAGGACACTATGATATTAATCAACTCTATTCAGTATCAAACAGGCATGATCATTCATAACAATTAAGGTCAAATCAACATCAAAAACTGAAAAAGTGAGCGAAACCAAGGACTCTGTAATCATATTTTACATAATAAGTAAGAATTCAACAAGCAATATTACGATACCTGGTTGCTCATTTTCATCTAGATGACCCATGAATATTATATACAATACATCATACTTTTACAGTTAAACAAGTATTTACCTTTTGGATTTTTTCGATTAATTCTAGTCATCGTTGTTGTTTGTACTTTTGGAGTACTTGTTTTCTTTTTACCAAGTGGTTCTGATGAACTATCATGACCGAATACTTTTCGTTTATTTAATGCAGATGATTGACTAGTTATTGAAGATGTACGTGATGGAATTGAGAGTTCGGATGATGACAACGCGGTTGAATGATCATCCTAAGAAGCAATACATAAAAATTGATCCAAAGAGTGCGATACAATAATTAAAAAACACAAACATTGTCTGAATTAAAAAATATTAATAAGAGACACAGCAATATTTTAGATCCATCCTATTTTGAGCGATTCGAATAAAAACCTGTTTAATTATAGAGTTCAACGGCGATTGGTTAGAAGTCAGTTTTGTGTTGACCGGTATTTATTACTAAAAGTATTGCTAATTGTATATACATCCGATCTTCACATTCTTCATTTAAAGTGTTTATTTAGAGCTTTTGCAAACTAGAACGCGGAAGGAGTTAGAGAAAAATGCTAAACATGACTTTCTACTGAAATCAAGAAAACAACTTTAAAAATTTAGCCCATTCTTTGTTGTCTAGTATAATCAGCTCTAAAGCACAATTCCAGAGTCTTCCGTCAAAAACCATCCAGTCTTGGTAAAATTTTTCCATAGAGTATGTGTCTTATCCCAGGAAGATGACACTAAAGGTTTGAGCCTAAAATATTGAGGTTTCCCGAGTTATCCTACAAACAAGGGTCAAAAAGCCGGTGTTCATGCGGCAAAAATTTTGCCACCATTTTGAGTGCTAAAAAGGTTCGGAGTGATTTCAAAATGTAGCCAACATTTGACTGATTTTTCTAGTTTTTCCAAAGCTTTTATAAAAAAAGTTAAAAGCTAAGTTTGCGGAAAACTTTAGTTTTCTCAGAAACTAGGTTGAAAACCGAAAATTCGGCGCTGTTGAATTGTGGTGCCAAGTGGTGGCTACATTTTGAAACCATCTTGAGAATTTTTGCACTCGAAATAGTCGAGAAATTTTTGCCACACGAACAGCTAAAACTAAGAAACCCAATTTCGAAAAAACCCAAAACAAATGAAGTTTTTCTCCTTGATGAAGCGACATACGAAAAAACTGAGTAGTTTATCAGACATTATCGACCACGGTAGATCGAATGAAGGACATGCACAGATATTATTGCATTCACAGGAAATTTGCAAAAAAATCAGTTGATTTTTTTACAAATTTCCTATGAATGCGAGGACTTAAGTCTTCGCATTCGAGCAGTTCTAGAAAGACCTCTGTAAAATCCTTAAATAGTGAAATCAATGAATTATAATGGAGTCGAAATTAGACACTGGGTTATCAAACACGTACAAATCTCAAAATCGATATTTTTGACAAAAATTGACTTTTTCGATAGAACCTTAAACAAAAAGCTTGTCTATTTTTACTTGGACGATACATCGTGAAGAAATTATTGAATCTTTTTACCTCCACGGGTTGTTGATCATGTGTCACCGAAGATTCAGACGATAAATGACTATATATTTTCTCTTTCTGCTCATTTTCATCAACTGTTGTTGGTGTTGTTGGTGGTGGTGGTGTCAGTGTTTTTTCTCTCTCGTCTCTCGATCTATCTTCTACTGATTTTTCAAATATTGTACTCAAATCAGACGATTGATTTTTTACATCTGCTAAACGTATGAATGTAATATCGTCATTTTTATCGAATGATATATCCGTTTGAACACAATTTGTTATACTCTGATTTAAATCATCCTAGAATTAAACAACAAATTCATGGAGTTATCTATCTAAAATACATAGCAAGGAAATTCTATCGAATTTAACGTCTTAGTACCAAAAACACTCTTGTCAATTGGTAATGGTGAATTTTGTCAGTTATAACTCAAATTATTCAAGTTATTTAAGATCCTAGCTAAAAACTGAACCCTAATGTGCTCATCACCAATGTTACATCTCTCTGACACTGCAATAAAGTTAAATAATTAACCAAGCACTCACTATCAAGAACAACATTTCAGTTGAATTTCTGATCGCAGGCAAGATCTTATACATAAATAATTTCGAAATCAGCATTTTGCTTAACTTTGATTTGACATTTTCATCTCATCTTTATTTGTGTTTAATCAGATATCAAAAAAAAATACTCACCGTGCCATTCTGATTCATTTTTTCTGTAGTTGATGCTTGTTCTGATTGTGGTTCGTGTTCGACTACTTTATTTTCTCGAGTTTCTTCTCCGTACTCTTCATCTTCATCCATATTATCACCATCTTCACTGATCGATTCAATATGTTGATGTGTCTGTTGTTGTTGTAATTGATTCAATATTAATGATACACTATCAACTAATTCGGATGGTTCAAGTAAAATTTGTGATTGTTGTTGTAGTGGGGGTGATGGTGATGGTGATGGTGGTGGTGATGGTGGTGGTAGTGGCGGTTGAGAAATTGTAGCTGGAGTTAAAACTGGCGGTGGTTCTACCATTGGTGAAGGTGCTGTTAGCCAGCTATGTGGACCTAAATGAAATAAACATAATGTGAAGATATGTCAGAAATTTCATGTTATTTGAATAAAAATATACTGGCAGTATCAATAGTATTTGTTAATTCAAACGGGATTAAGGATGATTGTGATTTATTTAGTTGTTTTGATTGTGGAGTTATATGATTATCAGCTACATCGAATACATCGTCACTATAATCGTTCTCATTGTCATCAATATGAGGAAGAACATTGATGGCACCATTTTCTCTTATTTGTACGGGAGAAATCGTTTCACAATCAGTAGTGGTATTCTAAAACATAAATTTTTTTGAGTATACAGCTTAAATATCTTTATGCATATGTTCAAATTAAAAAAAATTACTTCTCTAAAGCATATTGATGTTTGTTTATTTCCTAAACCTGTTTTTCTATACTGTCTGAACTGAAATCTTTCTATCTTATTTATCATAATACATTATAGAATACATACAACAACTGATGGCGACGATATAACAACAGGAAGAACAGGTACGGTCATAATCGGACTGTTATTATTATGTAATGTATTTTGTACAATATCTGGCAAGAGTGAAGATATTTGACTTGTTGACTGAATGGATTGCAATTGGACGGATCCACTTGCGACAGACGTTGGTACTGAGACATTTGATGATGTTATTGTAGATGAACGAATCATTGTTCCAGGTGCTCTTAAACGACTTATTTGTGGTGGACGAACTGGAATTGGAATCTAGGAAAAAAGAAAAGAGAAAAATAAAATTACATAAATAATCAAATGTAAAAGCGTATGAATACCTCTTTTTTAGGTGATGGTATTTGTCTTTCTGAAAAACAATCGAGATCAGCTAGATTTAAGATGTATGAATAAGATTTTCAACTTCGTACCTGGTGTTGAAGAAAGAACTATCACTTTTTCTTGTGGAACAAATACACCATGATTTTGAGGACAATCAAAATATCTAATAATAAATAATAAAAAATAAAACAAAAAAATCAGATAACATGTATTTATTTTATATCTTTTTACCGAATATTTTGAACTTCACCATTATGTTTTCCATCTGGTTCATCCAATTCAATCCCACAAAATTGACCTTGAGCAAAATGAACACTACCTACATAACGTAATATACCAGTTTTTAAACCACCAATTTGTACACGACAACCAACAATAAGTGAACTGTTTGTTGGTAATGGTCTTAAATAGAAATTAAAATATTTTTTAATATAGTTTATTTATTATTTAAATTAGTTATACTTTTCTGAACAATGAATTTTGGCAGACATTATTTGCACAGGTGTTAAACTCAAAGAAGGAACTGGAATTTTGCCATTTGTTGAACTATTGATCGTTGTGTTGGCACGTTTACGTAGCGGTAACAATGATTTCTTAGCAGGAACCTGTAAATAATACAAGAAGAAAATGAATTTTAAATAAAATCAAACTATATAGCAAGCACAATTGTCATTTATTTTGTTCAAAAATTTTAACTAAATTCAATTAGTAAAAATGATGAACGTTAACCATACAGTAGTCAACTAACATATAAAATATTTATAACAATTATTTTTATCTAACAACACTTAAAATTCTACTAATTATTTTCAACAGCTGTTTAACACTATTCTAGACTAGAAATCAATGAACAGCAAGTTGATAATGTCTTAAAATCAATTATTTTTCTCTAAAATGTAATAAAATAAAACAATTCTAACACTTTCTATTTGATATTATTTTGCAAGTGCAAGTGTTATTGACAATAGATTCATATACTGTTGTTTCCAACATGTATGTTAAGTGCGTATACATATATACATACATATACTTCAATTGAAACAAAAATCGTGTAGAATTACACTGTTATATATATATATATATATATATATTCTGATAGGTTTGATCGTTTCTCACATGATATAAAGAACAATATCAATTCTTTTTTACTGTTGAGTCTTTTACACTTTGTCCTTCCAGTTCAATTATAGTTCAACGTACATATATGCATACAATGTGAGTGAAAAGTTTGATTTAGTCAATAAATAATTTGTTATTCATCCATGTTAACAAGAGCATTATACACAGAACATATGCGGAAGTTTAATCTCTGACTACTTCGTAAAATAATACTAGAATTTTACAACTTTTACTCTCAAAAAAAGAAAACAACAACTATTATTGTCTGTATACTATTTCGATGAATGTAAATTGTTTTTTTAATGGAATAAATTAACTTACTTTCCTCATATTATGAAGAGCATTTCTCTGCTGGCGATAATGGATAAATAAAGTTCAAGGAATTTAATCAAAACTGTCTATTGAATTAACTTCAGAGATATTTCGTTCAAAGTGAGTTTCAAGAACTAGCGTTTAAAAAAAAGTTGCATATTTTCTATTTTAATTAAATTCTTTTAAATAGTTCATCAATATTGTTCGATTAGCTTCCGTTTTGAATAATAGAGTTTGTTTTACACATACTAACTATATTTTAGTAAAATTCCAATATTGTTAACGATTCAATTTCTATGCTCTCTATCGCTCTCTCGTTTGCTCATTTCTCTTGTGATATATTTATATATATATATATATATAATCAAACACTTGAGAAAGAGTGCTGTTTTTCTTTCTCTTCTCTCTTGCCTCATTATTAAATCATGATAATGATTTGTACAAGAAATAGTGCAAAGTGTACATACTACACTGACTGACTGATACCCTATTACATTTCATGCACCCTATACTTACTTATGGCCACAGAGAAAAGAAAAGAGAAGAAAAGCGGTCACATTTGGTAATCATTAGTGAGTAGTTTCATTTATCATTCTTAACCCCTAACGATTATGGCAAAAAATCAAGATAATTACATTTTAAGAAGTACGCTAAAACGATACATTTTATATTTTTTGAATATCAAAATTCCAATAGAACAAGAAAAGTTTCCTTCTTCTTTGGATAAATTGAAAAACTAAAGTCAGCAATGATTCGGATAGCAAAATCTGATTTTTTTTCCTGTTGATGATAGTTATATAGTTTATATGTACAATACAAAATGTTATCAAAAGACGAAATGTCAATTTCTTGTTATATCATCAGGATTCATTCGACTATTTATATATAGAATACTATGTTCTACAACTATAATAAAAATAACTATAAATGTCAGATAAATGTGTCAACAATGATGTTTTTATAAAAATGATAAGCAAATCTCACATCGAAGAACATCTAATAGATTTATTACTCCTATTTGTAATCAAATAATACTTTAAATAATATTTGTATGAAAAACTCAACTAAATTCATTATTTTATTTAACTATGTGAAGCTTTCAGCTCAGACTAGAGTCATTATCAGCTACATAATACGATAAGAGAAACGGCGTATATATATATATC